CGCTTCGTCTTTTGTCAGAGGTCGAATCTTGTTGTGCGTTCGAATGGTTGAAAACTGCCTGTAAAATTGACGACTGAGTGCAGTTGTCTGTGGATGGTGGGTTACAAGCAAGTCTTCGTCGTAGTCGTCATCGTATTTTTTAAACCAAACGATCATTTCTTGTTTTATTTTTTGCCAAGACTCATCGTTGTCGAATATGTTGGTGAGGTAAAATTGAAATGCCTCACCGGTGACGTAGTCGCTGAAGTTCGTAACCATTTCCCGTTCCGACCAAGATGCAGCGGTAGCGTGGAGCTCGAACAGGTCGAACCAGTCTTGTACGGGTCCATCGTCCGCTGCTCCGGTGTACTTGGGGATGGGAAGGTCGGTCGATGATTCTGTCATGGTGCTGGTCGCTGTGTGCGGCTAGGAGATGATTCCGTAGTCGATGTATGGTCAGGGCGTCTTGTGTAGAACTGCGTCGATGATGAGACACTGATGAAGCGGCTGGGAGGTCTTCATCCTGTCGACTCGTGTGACGCTATGATCAATGGGCGACGTGGCCTGGCTCATACCCCATGCTTATTTCTTTCTGCACTTCTTCCTTCTCTGCCACTACCTAACCATCGCTACCTTCTTACGTTACATGCTTCTTGTTTGCTATTTATCACCACACATCTTTCCATCCTTGTATCCCCTTTGTTTGTTTGTTTGTTTGTTTGTTTGTTTGTTTGTTTTTCAGCTTGCCCTCAAGTATTGTACTTCATGAATAACAGATCTCGAGTTATTCACCTGATCATTGAAAGCAAAAGTGTCGCGCACTTCACAAGGATACGGACGGGAGCGAAGGTGTGTTCAAGAACCAAAACGTGGCGGCCGATTCAAGCCTCACTCAGGTCAGCTACCCCGACCGGGCCGGAAAGGCGCTAGTCGTGGGTTCAATTACGGGGCCAGGACGAATTTATCTTGAATCACTCAGTGGCTTTCCTTTCGGAGAAATGCGAATGGATTTCCATGCGGCTTCACAAACGGGTGGTTGTCATTCATCCCTTTCATAACCCTTCCGCCACCTAGCGAGTTTCCGCAATACTATATTTCTAATTTCCTCGTTTAGCTTGTGAAATTTCACATAGAATGTGCGTCTAGAACTAACAGATGTGCACTAGCCAAGGCAGTAGATACATACACTCTAACTCACATTGGTGCAAAATGTATTTGAAGATCTAATGCAGCAGTAACCAGCGCAAGAATTCTTAAAACACAGTCGTCACTCAGCGACTGCTATAGCTGATATTGTAAGCGAAGTCCGTGACATCACCGCATCGGGGGAAAGGCGTGCTCGCACTCCTTTCCAATCTGGCCGTGATACAGCATCCTGAAGTATTGGTTGTGGTGATTTCCATTGTTACCATGACTTCAATGGTTACCGTGGATACAAGTTAAAAAGTCCGCAGATCATCTCTGACTAAACAAAAAAGATCGTCTCACTGGTGCACTCGGCAATGCTCTCTGATGGTGAAATCAGCGGCCGCCTGGCTCGTGATGTCAGTCTGGAGAACGCACTTCATTAGTGCAGGCTTGTGTGCATCCGCTCTTAAGCAGGAAACACCACGTAAGTCTAAAGTTGTAACTGATTATATAGTTAATCTTATGTAACAGATCTGCTGCGATGCCAAGAGTTGCTGACGTAACTGTCGGCAACTGGCAAGTTGTCAGCAGACTTTCTAAAGTTGTAAACTGCCATAGTTGCTCCTAACGGGGCCACTAGGAAGGAAGCTGTTTCCATGGCTGATTTCTGGAGGACTCGAGAAGCATCGACACTGATTAGCTGAATGTTTAAAATCTGATCTGAATGCCTATTCCGAAAAGTGGGGCTTTTTGTTCCACTCTTTTGTTTAAACAGATAATGACAGCATGGGTCGCCTCATGAAAAGACTGAGTGAGACCAATTATGTCTGTGTGTATCATGGACATATTCAGTGGACCAAGACACTCCTGCGCTGTCCGGACCAATAGCGAACGGTAACTTATCTCAGAAGTAACCGCTTACTGTTCTCCCATAGTTGAGTACCAAGTACTCAAAATTGCTAAACATTTTTTTTCTAAATAACTAAATTAATTGACTATTCTTCATACAGACGTGTCAGGACGGCTTTATGTCCTCCCATAATAGAGTACCAAGTACTTTAAATTGTAAAATACTTCTCCTAAACTCTAAAATTAATGCCTGAATGAATAACGATGTTTCATGGTACATATATCTTGTACCCTTGATGACGGCATTTCGGCTAGCTCGGTAGAAGCCGCAAGCTCCTGCATCCAACGCGTGGTCTCGCTGTTGACGCCGCACCATCCTGCGTCGGGTATTCTGGCGTCTTTGGCGGCGTACATCACGGAGTGGAAGGGCGTGCGCCGTGCGAAGAACTTGTGCGCCCCTTCGACGTAGAAGCGACCCCAGCGGGACTGGATGGAACCTTCAAAGACGCCGTCGTGCAGGCCACCGTATACCCGACTGGAAGGATCGCCTGCAAATCCAAGGAGAGAATTGAAGGCGCGTCACGTATTTGCGGAGCTTCCGTTGTAAGTCTGAAAATTGCATGCAATACACAAAGAAACCAACATGATTACACTTTTTTCACGTTCGATTGTAGTGTGACGTGTACATTACGGTAATGATGATTCACATGATCAGGCAAAGCCATTGGGAGAAAATTTTGAACCAAGTGAATCTATACGTCGTGGTGTTGACCCCTTCGCATTATGTGAATTCTTTCCTGTGGGTGAAGTTTATTAAACGCGAATTCTTGTTTTGCTAACCAAGTGCGTCAATTCCTTGTTGTAGTACACCTACGGTTTGCATTCTTAAACAACTCTATTTTTTTTGTTCTTTTACTGTGCGCTGTTTATTGGTTTCCATTATCGTATTCATATAAGCCTCCAAGTTTTTGCTATTTTTAAGTATGTTGTGTTAAAAATCTGACCCACTCTCCTCTATGGTGCCTTGGGGCCGGAGGGTGCAGACATAACTAAATATATAAATACACAAATAAATAAATAAACGCACTTGGACTGTCTCTGACTATATAACTACCTACATCTTGATGCTCTCGTACAGTCACCCCCATTGTGGTATAGCCTATATACCGGCATTGGCATAGGAGGGCGTGTGTGAAGATGAACTGCTGTCAGCCTTCACCCCCTTCTACTGGGAAACATTGCGCAAACCTATAGGCATGTTAATTTTTCTTTACAATTGAAGTAAATGCAAAATGCATAAGTGCATTATTCAAGGCAAGCTTACGAGCACAATATTCAATTAGCAAAATTTGTATCATAGATGTTGTAATCTAAGTCAACGGAATGAAAAAGGAGAAAGTGTGCGTTTAGCTTGCGTAGTTGTCAGCCGCATGACAACCAGTGAAACGGTACTTGCGAGAGACGAACGAACGTCGATAATGAAGACCGCGGTTGGGCTTTTATACCAATCAGTTCGCCGCTGTAGATGTGACCTATGTCCGGCTTCACTCGACCGCGGCTCGAAGTCTCGACCACGAGGTCCTTGTGAAAGGCGGACGCATCTGGCCTCAGCTTCAGATGAAACAACCTGCGAAATCAAGATATTTCTTTACAAAACAACGCTTCCCCCGTTAAACATTGCTGAACCGAGCCCAGCGATCAAGATGTCCCACAAAACACGCATCGAATCTTCACGTCGAAGGCGAGTCTGTTATGAGGGCAAAGGCTTAAAAGCGAGAAATGACCCTGGGCGGTGGCGCCCCGCCGCGGTGGTGTATAGTGGCTAAGGTACTCGTCCGCTGACCCGCAGGTCGCGGGATCGAATCACGGCTGCGGCGGCTACATTTTTTATTACGGCGAAAATTTTGTACGTTCGTGTGCCCAGATATGGGTGCACGTTAAAGAACCCCAGGTGATCAAAATTTCCGGATCTCTCCACTACGACGTCTCTCATAATTATGTGGTGGTTTTGGGACGTTAAACCCCACATATCAATCAACAAACCATGGACGGAGGCGTCGGCACGAGTGGTGCAAAATGTCATCGCGTGATGGCATCACACTATGACGTCGTCATAATGTCACACGTACCGACATTTGTGACCTCATCGTGACATCGTCGTGCCGTCCCTGTGTCATTACATGACATGGTCACTTGGTCAAACATGGGCTGATAACGGAGGCAACTGCGAAACCACGCGAGATGGATAAGCTTCCAATCGCTCCCATGTCGGAAGCAGGCATAAAGGACGTTGTGTGGGGAAAGCTTTCAGGTGGGACAACAGTCGACTCAGATGAAAAATAAGAAAATGGCTATCGGTAAACAGGAAGGTGGGCCACAGCGGCGTAGTTCATTGTTTCTGACTGTGGTGGCGACAGTCGACCAACTCCTACAGTGACTACTGAATCTCATCGCGGCGATATCGGAAATAGAAGCCAATACTGAGGTTTCGGCGAATGGAATAACTTCACCTCCTCCAAGGCGACTGCCTAGATTGTCTCGCACGGGTGGCTAGTGTCTTGTGCTTAAGTAACTTTCTAGTGTGGTGGAACTATCCACTAAAAGCTGTTAGCAAACACTTAGCGTAACACTTCAAGAATGCAGTGGCAATGTCTTCAAAACTGAGCGTCTAAACATATAGGCAATGTCAAATTGAAAAGTCACCAATCGAGCTCAAACAAAATTAACACAGATTTTATAGGAGACAACTCAGCTGGCCACTGCAGATAAATGTTAGCCCAGGATTATTCGACATAAGTGTCTATCTATTCGAAGGTCACACGTTCTGTCACTGCCAGCGGGAAGTTTCCTTTCCCTTCGCTTCACTTTCTTCAAATATACAAGCCAATTACTACAATGCATTCCAATCAGTACAATTAACGTGCTATACACTTTCTTTGAGTTTATCGTCTGCTGGTTTTTGTTAACTTTCGGTAAAAACAAAGAACCAAGCCCTCCAAATTGTCTTCCTTCAATTGTTTATCAGTAGATTGTATCCGAAAGAAAACGCTTCCTGGAATCGAACCCATGACATTTTTCCAAGAATTATCGCCACAGCCACTTCTTCACATTCATGGTATGTAAAAACAAAGTGTGGCTGATCCTCCTATATATAAGTCGGTATAACACGAAAGTTACATGTGTATTTACAGAACATTTATTTGCACTGTTTCAGCAACGGCAACGAATTTCAAAGCGTATTTTTAACGAAATATATTTTTGAACGTCACTTCCGTGGCGGAAGTACGTCCGCGGAGTCATGGGGCACCCCGGCATAAAACGTTTCCGTGTTAAAGAACAGCTAAACAAACAAAATAATGATTTTGTCTTGAAGCTCTAGTGACGGCCTTTATACGCACCAGCTTCAAATGAATCGGCGCTCACTTGTGCAAAAAATACGTAGAAATTGACGTCTTTCTTCGAAACACTCGTCAATGATGCAACTATTTTCACCCAGTGCTTTCAGACAGTATTGCACTTGCCTCGCCACGGTGGTTTGGTGGCTAAGGTACTCGGCTGCTGACCCGCAGGTCGCGGGTTCAAATCCCGGCCGCGGCGGCTGCATTTCCGATGGAGGCGAAAATGTCGTAGGCCCGTGTGCTCAAATTTGGGTGCACGTTAAAGAACCCCAGGGGGTCGAAATTTCCTATGCTCCACTACGGCCTCTCTCGTAATCATATGGTGGTTTTGAGACGTTCAAACTCAACAATTTTAATTAGACTGCATTGCACCGTAATTAACGCTTTCTTCCCGGGCGTTTTGTACAACCGACAAAAAATTACACATCATCATTGATTGGCATATGCAGCTGCAGTAATGATTTTATCATACTGACATAAATGCAATGTTGCAACTCCTTCTGCATCAGAACAGAACATCGCGGCCAAGTTTTTTTTTCATTTACTATTTGGCTTTTCCCATCATGAATATTTCGTTTACAGTGCTTCTCGATGCAATCTCAAATTTGTTATATAGCGCAGGACTCGGCAACCTTTTTAGGCGAAAAGCGAAGTTGCAGGGAGTTGACACAGCGGCGGGCTTCACAGCAAATTGAGGAGGGTCGGAGGCTTTTCAAACGAACAGAAAATTTAGACGAATGCACATTAACAAACAACACTGGATTAATTTCATGTTTATTTTCATAAAGCATACGTTTCCAATCAAGCATGGGTTACAAGCGAAAACATCATGTTAGGTCAAAAGTGCTATGCCGGCTTTAAAAAAAGTTACGGTCCTGAGCTGTAGCATGCAACTCCTTCCCCGCTGTTTTCGCGCTGATGTATAACATACACCAACTGGCCCTTCAAGGTACCCTTGAATATATCGTTTACTGACACCCGTATTCTAGAACGTCCCTCCACTGAACGCTTCACCTTCACTTGAGAAGGCTGATGGGAGCGCCGTCTCTAGGCAGGGAAAGTCACTGCATATCAGCGTTCATCTGCGGCGATTCTTGAGTAGCGTAGCGTCACTTTCAGCCGCGAGCAGCGGCGCAGTGCTCAATTCTCTCAAGTGAAGGGTGAAAGTCGAGTCGAGGGGCGTTTGTGAATACGGCGGTGAGTCTTCGCGTTTCGTTGTATCTCCTTGCCTGTCGAATCCTTGGAAGCGGAAGTAAACGATGCCGTGCTGCGAGCTGCTTCCGCCCAGGGATCTCCTGACGCGAACGTGTTCCCTGTGCACCCGCCGTGGCTCGTACGACAGGGGCTCGAAGTGGCGCACGTAACGGTTCAGGCGACGCGCTGCAAATGCACACGAATCCATACTTATCAACCTCACTTCGGTATAATTCTTTTTTAGTGCGAAAAATCACAACAAGAGTCACGTATGGCGCCGTATGTCCGTCGCCGCTGGTACCCGTAACCACTATTGCACGAAATAAGAAAAAAAACTTCGCGAATATATACACCAAGGACACAACATAATTCGAAACCGGATCCCCTGCGTGCCTGCCTAGTATTCTACCACAGAGCCACGCCGTTGCAAACTTTTCTTAGGCAGGCTTGATGTCGGGAAACGAATCGCATTAGTATGAATAATAAAGCGCTTTAGAACAGCAAAGGATTAACCAGGCGTCACACAATTCGAATTGCGTAACGAGTTGGTCGTCCAATCATTACAGGCCAAAAAAAAAAAATAAAATAAGGAACGAAAACAAAGTAGAACAATTTCCCTTTAGAGGATTCAATGATCCCCCCCTTTCCCCCGTTAATGTTTTTTTTTTTTTTTGAAAAAGTGTTATCGCTTTCGGAGCCTAAATTATATGGCACTTAGGGTTTATGTGGCCCCCAGCGATAATGATGTGTCCTGTATAGCACTGTCATGTATGAGCCTCGAAGAAAGGCATACTTCTTTCAGAGTTTCGTCAATCTGGAAGTACAAAGCAGCTTCGAAAAGAAGTCAAACGGGACACAAAGGTCACCCCCGCATGTAGTATTTTGACAGCGCAGCATATATTTTTTTGCTTTACATTACAGATTGAAACAGACCGATACCAATACTGTATTCCATACAAACTCACATGGTGCCTCATTCATACGCCTAAGACAACTCGCTTGTGCAAGGCATCTTATTTATCTTCTCGGGCGATGTATTGATCCGCATACATGTGACCGTGCAAGTATATTGCATTTTTTTCACTTAGTTTTTTTTTACTTTCTAATTTCCGGGAAACATCCTAATTTTTGTTTTACATAACACACTATTCAAACTACAATGCGACTGCATAGTTCTTCGACCTCCATCAGCTACGGCAAGGCCTATATTGTCCTAAATTTTCAAAAAAATGAAAAAAGGGTCTCTAGATGCATTAGACTACGCTCCCACCTCTGTCGTGCTGTAGCTGGGATATTACAGCCCCGCTCACAGTGGCTTTGTGAACTCTTGCTGACGGTCGGACGTGCAATATCAGAATACATGACGCGGTATTTACAAGCACAGAAAAAAAATTCAATTTCTTAATGAAAGATACCACCGGAGCAGCTAAACGTCCACGCGTCGACGTGACCAAAATTCAAGTAACGATTAAGCCATGTCGCGCTGTAATGCAAAATGGAGCAATGAAAGTCGACCTCAGCCTCATCGCACATCATCTTAATTTCTCCAGATCGCTGAATCGTTCTGTTCAAATAATTACCTGCACTTTGTTTATCTTTCTTTTTCTTGCTGTTATTCCGTTTCTCAATTGCGTTCTCCTTATCATTTTCATTTAAACATAGGTTTGAGATGCAACAAAACGCAGGCTATAATAATCGTTTTGTGAGTTCTTGTTCCCGTACTTTTTATATACGCACAGTTACTAACCCTGCGTAGAACAGTGATGTAACTCTCCAAGCACCAAGTTAACATTCCTGTTCGTTTTTAACGTTGTCTTAATATTATGTAAATCATATAGATAAAATACAATTGCACGCGCCAATAATGTCCGCTGGAGAAATTATGCTTTCCTTAGATAACACCTGCACCGACCTAATTCCTATAGAATTTTACCAGACCAGCGTATCGCCTATATAAGCCGCAATAAGAACTTCTAATATCTGTATCTTTGGATTAAATGTAAAACTTCTGTCGGTCACAAGAAACGCACCAGGCGTGCTTTGTTTAGTACAGCTCACAGTATATCAGAATGAGGCCGTGACAAACGATGGTTCCGACGCGAATGGCGCCGCACTTACATGTCAGGGCTAATTAAAAAAAAACTAATCTTAGTTCTACAAAGTGCGAAATCTGCAGAGACAGCTGAGCTACTATTCTCCAGCCTTTTCCTTGCAATTTTTCGTGATTCTTTGTTTTTTGTGATTTTGTGTGGGTGTCTGTGAATAAAGTAATTGTAGAGTTGATATGCACAGAAAAAACAAGAGGGCCCTTAAGCGTCGCCTTTAAGAGTTGAACGCGATAGCGGAATCCGACACCTAGTGCACCCTTCAACAGCTAAGTGCATAGTTATTCATATGTTTTGTTACATACACACGCATGCACACAAACACGCACACAGTAGATTAAACCAGCGCGCTATTGTCGCTGAATAGGCTTGTTTTCGTCGTGACACCTGTCAAACAAAATGCGTTAAAGAAAACCTGAAACACATTTTCAAGTAACCATGGAATGAATTCACTAGAAGATTGATATGTGGGGTTTAACGTCCCAAAACCACTATATGATTATGAGAGACGCCGTGGAGGGCTCCGGAAATTTCGACCACCTGGGGTTTTTTAACGTGCACCCAAATCTGAGCACACGGGCCTACAACATTTCCGCCTCCATCGGAAATGCAGCCGCCACAGCCGGGATTCAAACCCGCGCCCTGCGGGAATTCACTAGAAGAGCTTATTGCCTCACGAATTCAAGGCCGCAAAAGTTTTAAGAATCCGTTCAGTACGAGTGGAGTTACAAAGGTTTGTCGCATGCTGCAATTGCCTTATCTCTGCTCTCGTCCCGACCAAAGCACTGGAAGCTAAGCAGGGAGGGGTGGTTGGTTGGTTGTTGGTTGTTCCTCAAAGTCCTGGCGCAACCCACCATAGGGGATTGGCCATGAAACGGACGGTGCCTCACTTGTGAGGTGGAGTTGTTTTAGCAGCCGGATTATTTAGATAACGATGTTTAAAAAAGAACCAATTGGTAAACGATAGATCTGAAATAAAATAAAAAGGGGTAATACAAATAACGAAAAAGCTAATAAGGTTTGAAATAAAATGATTTTATGCCTCAGCTTGACATTCTAATCGTTTTGTTGCCTTTAGAAAGTTGCATACGGCCTCGCGAACGTTCCTGAGGCTAAATCCCTTTTCAGTTGTTCCAAAGGAAAGGACCACCGGAAGGGATAAAGTTAGAGCCAACCTACGGAGAGGTTCTTCTAACAGTCTCTTGCTTTGGTTTGTATATAACCTGCATGTTAAGAGGAAATGATGAAGGTATTCACTCTCGTTGCAGTGGAGGCATAGGGGAAACTGTGCCACACCAGAACTGTGTAGACAAAAGTTCAGGGGGAGGACCCGGCATCTTAGTCTCGTAATTGATATCTCCGCCCTTCTAGAGGAGCACCATCAATTTTTCCAAGGGTACTTAAGAAGGGAAAAATCTGATGTTGCCAAGCGAGATTTTTCAAACTGATCTGACATGACAAATTTTTCAAAGTGTGCCACGGCGATAAATGCTAACGTCGGTAATATAGAAATTATGGGATAATTATGTGAGGCCACTGCGAGTGCATCTGCAAATTCATTGAGGGTTAAACCTTTATGCCCTGCTATTCACGCCAAGCGAATGAGTCGTAAATGTCTTGGGGCAAGGTCGTAAAATACTTTTAAAGCATTGGACATATTCGGTGCAGTAATGAACTACACACAGACAAGCAGTTTGAAAGAATAATAGCATCTGTTATTGATTGAGGTAATTTTTGTAACGCTAAGAGAATTTCCAGTAATTCCTGCTTGATAAATAGGTGTAAAATTGGGTAAACGAATCGAAAAAGACCAATCCAACACTGAAGATGCAATTCCGACTCCTGCCTTCTCTTCGCGAACTGAAGCATCAGTTGCTATTACAATCTTTATGTCTAATCTTGCCAGGTGGTCTTTCGAAATGGCATTTAGATATTTACTGGGAAGGGTTTTGCAATTATTAAGAAAAATATTGTCAAATTCTATTTTCATTGTTTGAATAGGTGTTCTTAGTGCCCGTACTTCACGAAAGTTAACATGTAATGTTTTCAAGAGCTTCTGCACGGCGATGACATGTGGACACTTTAATCTACAGAACACTGTTGGTTAAAAAAGGACGTCGGCTCATTAATGAAAACATAATGCAACCTCCTATGTTGGAATGCGTATATTTTTAGGAAGGTACGGACTGCTAGTATTTGGAACCTAGCACGAAGAGAAGGCAAGTGCGCTTCCTTACATAAAATATTAACTGCCACAAATTTAGGGAGCCCAAGACATATACGTAACGCTTCACGTTCTAGTAGTACCAGTGGTACAATTTGGTAGGCGGGTGCTCCAGAAAACAAGACACAGCCAAACTCTAATATTGGGTGAATATACACACAATATATCATGACTAGCACATCACGACGCAAGCCACAACGTTTATTGCTGAGTCTACGAAGCATCCCAAGCGTATGTGCTCCTTTGGCTGCCATTTCTTCTATATGCGGACTCACATTTAGGTTTTCAGTATAAGTCACTCCTAAGTATTTAATCGATTTCACCTGCAGGATAAAGTCCTGTCTTTAAAGTACAGAAATCTGCACTGAAACACTTATAGGAAAAAATACGACTGCACTTTTCCTGATGTTTAATGATAGATTATTGTCGTCTAACCATGAGTCCAGAGCGTTCATATAAAACTGTAGTATCTGATATAATGTATGTATATCTGTAGCTGTAGTAAAAAATGTGATGTCGTCAGCGTATACATACACCTGTACATTATGTTGTACTGCACAATAAAATATTAAATAATAATGGTGAAAGTACCGAACCTTGGGGGAGACCTCTAGTTTATTTATACTTTGAAGACGACATGCCAGATTGAGAGCAATAGAATTCTCTATCTTTTAGAAAGGAGTAAACCCATGCCACAAAGTAATTTGGTAACCCGATTTATTAGTTTAATGTGTTCCACACTGTCATAAGCTTTTGCAATATCTAAAGTTACTAAGGCGGAAACCTGTTTCTTAGAACGAGCTAGTTGTATCCTGCTTTCCAGATCAATATGAGGCACACCAAATGGAGCAGCCATGCCTGAATCCAATTTGGCATGGGCTTAAAATTTCGTTTTCGTCCAACCAGTTGTCTATCCTAATGTGTAGAAGTCTTTCGATTAGTTTTACCAGAATATATGTGAGTGAAATAGGCCTAATGTTATCCAAAGTAAATCCAGCTCCATGTTTCTTTAATAACGTAATTATTTTCGTGATCCTCCACTTAAGCGGAATCCACGAATATCTAATGGAGTGGTTAACTATTGCAAGTAAATCTTGAGGTGATCCTTTATAGATTATTTTTATTACCGGTACAGTTATTCCATCGGGACCTGGAGCAGAATCGGGCAATATTTTCACTACTTGTGCTATTTCCGACGATGTAAGCTCTTCAAAGTCACCGCTGTTAACAGGGCAAGGTGAGTGGTAAAAGTTAGCAGCCGTGAAGCGGCTTTCCAGCCCTTGAGCAATATTTTCCAGAAAAGTAGGCAACTCACTTGGCGTTGAAACAATCGATTCAAGGTTTGTTGATGGTAAGATTACTTTTTGAGCTTTAAGGAAGTTTAAAAGTGATTTCTTGTGGCCAGGCTTTGAAAGGAACTCGGAGCGTTGGCTATGATAGTTATCCTTCGCAGCGGCAACTGTTCGCTTAAAAATTGCAGCCACGTATTTGTAATCGCTCCAATTTCTAGGGCACTGATCATAGAGCAGTTTTCGTCACGCTGCTTTTCTTTTAGCCTGTAATGACGTGAACAATCAGAGTTACACCAACGATTCAAAGGACGTTGTTTAGAGACTTGAACTGTGAATTTATGTTTATTTAAAGATTGTTTTATAACATCCTGAAAGTTGATAACATGTCCCTGTTTATTTACCTCGGTTCGTTTTGACAGTCACACGTAGTGTGTGTTCAAGTGTATTGAAATTGATGTGAGAAGTGGGCTGCCTGATTATTGAAGTCACGGGACATACAAGCTCAAACAATATAGGAAAATGATCGCCATATATATTTGTACCCAAGTTTAAAGTAGACCATGTAGAAATACAGAGGCTATAGGACTACAGAAAGTCAGATCAATCGCAGAATGAGACTGATTGCATACAAACGTGGGGGTTCACTGCTTAATGCATATTAAATTCTTTTTAGCAACGAAATCCTACAAGCGCTTTCCACTCATATTTGTTCTGAATCCCCACGAAGTGTGATGAGAATTGAAGTCTCTTACAATTAATATGTCTGACGAAATTACGGTATCTAAAACACTAGAATTTTGAACACCTAATGGAAAATAAGCGTTTACTAACGAAAAGGGAAGGTGTCCCGGAAGAGAGATATCTAATGTTAAAATTTCAGTTTCTAAATTCATTTTGACCTGTAACTTTTACCCGATGCGCAATTTTTGAAGAGATAAACCTTGCTAAACCGTGCAACTCCTCGAGAGGGGCGGTCTGAGCGAAATGTTCGGTAGTTTTTAAGATGAAAGGTTTTTTTCTTTAAAGAGCCAAGTTTCTTGCAACACTATAACATCTGAGGAATGTTGATTACAAAGGCAAAATAAATCAGTAGTTGCGGAAAAAATTGACCGGCAATTTCACTGCAAGATTTTCAATCCACCTATTTTGAGGATATGCCGGCAGCGTTCACTGCCTTCTGCAATAAGCTATCTTTCAAAAAATCCTCTTTTAATGCTATTTCTTTCTGATATTTTCTTTACTTTTTCCTTTAGGACTCACTGGAGATCCATGTTTTCGTGGCGACGCCCGCCGTTAAATTTTTTGTTTGTGTGTGTGTGGTGAATTCCATTTGTGAGTCCTGCGAACCTGAATCAGAGCTCCAATCCAAATGGTCAATGGCGATTATTTTACGGCCACAGTCTGACGGACCAACTCTTGATGAATAACTCTTCAACAGGTGTTGTTATCGGGTGGCTGGGTTTAGAAGGCCTTGTTTCTACAGAACCTGTATTCACCTCTTTAGCTGAAAAAAGCATACATGGAAGCTGCATGTGGATAATTTACATTCATGAGGATTTGAGCGATTTGTGCGTTTACCATTTGAGCAAATGACTCCGTCAGCGTCACAAAAGGGTTCTCCAATAGCTTTGTCATTGTTTTCTCAACGGTCAAGGCTATCACGTCTGAGAGTGACGAGTCCAAGACATGGTTATTACGGACCGCAGCAACAGCGTTCCACGAGAGCGCTCTACGATGGCCATTCGAGCTTCGCGTCTTGAACAACGTTTTTGCTCAATTATTTCCATAATTTGAATCTCCTGAGCTCTCGCAGGGCATGTGCCATCGCCAGATGGGTGATGGCCACCGCAAAGACAGCAAGAGCTTTCCTGAGCTGTGCAGTCTTTAGAGTTGTGTTGTCCTACACACATTCGACACCGCTCTACTGATCGGCAACCCTTTATGCTATGCCCAAAACGCCAGCATTTATGGCACTGCAGTGGACGAGGAGATAGCGCTTCGACCCGATATATCAGTGGCCACACTTTGATCTGTGTTGGTCTAGTAGTTCTAGCAAATGTAACTATCATCAACTCTGTCGGGATCTTATTTTTGTCAGCACAACGTGAACAGCAAAAAACTGCCAACGCGACTGCTGCAGAAAACATCTCTAGAATTTCGGGTGGAGACAGGCTCAAGTCTACCCCACGAACCAAACCTTCCACACAGGCCAAGTCAGGAGGAACAAAAGGGCTCACCGGGAGAGGGGCAAACGATGTGCAATTTAGCAGATTTGATACGCAGGCCTGATCTGGGAAACAGCACAAAATACCTCCACGACCAAATTTTCGCACCTTGGCGATGAGTTGGAAGTGTTCGGTCACCTTCCGTAGCTCCTCCTGGATGCTTTTGGGGTTTTTCATGTGAATAAAAACTACCGCACCTTGTGACCTTCAGCACTTTTTTTTTCTTCGAATATGCGGCTTTCTCAGTGTGATCGCACGCTTATGCGTGGATAAGTAGCGGCCTCCCGCGGCTATCTCGGTAACTTGATTTTTCGGTCTCAGACGCACAGACGATTTTTCGCGCACAACCAACGGGGCCGACGCCGCCGGCTGGTTTTTTGCGACATGAGCTCTTTAACGCTCTCGCGTTAATAACGTGTGACAGCCCCTGCTATATCCACCCCTTGTTAGTGACTTCAGGCCCTATACCTACGCTGTAGACACTCTTGCCATTTTTTAGTGTGCGGTTACGTCATCTATGGGCGTATCTGGGAACCAGAGCGTGACATGCGACGCGCACACCTTTCTGCCGTGAGACCCAGCTCTAGAGTAGCTCCGCAGTTAAAAAGTGATATTTCGTCTTCTAAAGAGCTTATCGTGCATTGCCGTTCCACATACCGTCAACAAAGCCCTGGGAACAGGTCAGTAGAAGCAGCAGCAGAAGCAGTCTACCATAAGGTGCGGCCGCCATCTTGTTCTTCGCATGCCCCACGCTGCACCTTTTCTTTGTTGGTCCTGTGTTCGGGGCTCATATCCGCTATTGTGGATGGGCCAGATAAAACATATAGTCCTAACTAGAGAGGTGATAAATGTGAAATATTCGGAAAACGAGTGCAGAATAGCAGAACCAGATGCTATCTGTTGACCCTCTTGGCCTCTTCCTACGAGTACATCTCTCTCACAGAACCTAAAAAAAGAAGTCCTACAATCTGCTTGAGGTGAATGATGATGGAGGAGCTTGCCTGGAACCTAGATGACTGAATAATTATTTTTTTCTTCATCCGAAATTGAAATTTCGTTTTCCCCAATACATTAATCGCCGGTTTAATGGCCACTTGGTGGGTACGAGCCACAACATAGGTACAAACAAGCAAGCAACAAACTGATTAGAAGAACCTGTGAATCCTCCGTACTAGTCCTTCGCCATCATATGAAGACGCGACATGTTGTTATAATGGTGATTTCATATACACATATATACACAAGATGTCGTCATTTACATGTCGATGCAACTGTATCAAATATTACATTACTGATTACAAAGCTGTGTGACGTGTTTTTCTTTCAATATTGCAATTGTGGCATCGGTTAAGTATGTGGCGCGGGCATCTTGAATTAGAGATTGCAGTTGAAGTGTCAATACAGGTTACGAGTCGAGGTTTTTCTGCCACCTCTGCTTTGTGCGCTGTCACTTCAGGGTCTGTCTGTCGATGCGCCTTCTTCGCAGCACAAAGTGCACATAATGCTTTAAAGGTGTGTAGTTGGTACCTCGCTATTCATCAAAATGACGAATGGCATAGTTACAATGTGCTTCCCTACTTCATTAACGTTACGATGGGCGTGTAGTTGCTACACAGCGCTGTCGCGTGTCTATAACCTACATGCCAAGGGACATGCCCCTCGAGCATTAGATAGAAGCTTGGCGAGCGAGCTCCCAAAATCTCTTCAATTGCTTTTATATGGTTTATATCTCCTTGATAGAAACATAAGTTGTTCGACAGTTGATCGCTAGCTTCCCCGTTACAGCATCCAAGAAAGCCTTTCTTTCATTTTAACATGATAACGTTGAAGACCTCGTTTCACAGAAATTGCGGCATCCGCGTTGGAGTCGTTTGTTGCGAGCGAAAAATCATCTTGTGCGTGACAGAAAAAAAAAATGAGAAAGCTGCTAAAAATAATATAAATTTTCAGGTCAGAGTGCGGATCAAATCCTGGCTGACTGCGTCGAAAGCACGTGTTCTACCACAAAGACATGGTACTTGTTTAAACCGTTTAACAAAGGTTCTTCGCAGCGCACGCCCTCCCTATTATATCAGTGCATGCGTCTGACTTCGCGCCCCTTCCCTATTATGTCAATGCGTGGGGCTGTGTTTGCGCACCCCTTATAGCAGGTGACTATGGGAGCGACCGCCCCCTTAACCCCGAGCCGTATATTCCCTTTGTCCTTAGCCCCCTCCCGTGCACACGCCTATTATTGAGAGCTGAGTCGCCTTCGGAGGCCTCCACCACGTACAGACGCGTCCACTGTTAAAGAGAACACCTGCGTGCACCGCATATTTAGATTTCCCTATCTTACAGAAGCACAGTGGCTTTTATTTGCATAAGATTATTGGTGGTTTAGAGTTCTGGCTCCTCATGACAGATTAGTGGAGTGCTTGAGGACTGTTTTTTTAGCCATTTGCTGTTACAGGGCTGAAAATATTGTCGCGGGTTATAAAATGCATGGGGTTTATTTAGGAAGGCGGAGAGTAGTACTCGTTGAGACGCTCTCAAAAGAGGGTCGCTAAGATTGTCGTCTTCTTCCCTCGTTTGCGCTGCGCCTCTCTGACACTGGCACAGGATGCAATATCCCATCAGGTTTGACAGGTGCTACCCGCTGACAATCAATGCATGTTCGGACGTAATGTTTCACCTCTGCTGTGATTCTTGACCGGTAGTATTTTTCTTTGACGCGTGTCAGTGTTCTTGTGAAACCGAGGTGACCTGTAGTGGCTTCGTCATGGCAGGCTTGTAAAATTTCGCTGTGGAGAGTTTCAGGAACTACCAGCAGATAGCTTCTACCTGTTGGTAAGAAATTCTTTTTGTGGAGAAATCCGTCCCGTAAACAGAATGATAAGTTCTTCGAAAAAATTTTTGTGCGTTGGCGGCTCGTCCGTTCAAGAATTCTATAAGCCAGTTGAGCTCCCGATCATCTTGTTGTTGCCGAGAAATGCATTAAGGATTCCTAAGAAACCTCTGAATTTGTCATCTTCTGTAGCCGGGGATTCAAAGGTGACCTTGATATACAGTCAGCGTCTAAGTGTTGCCTTCCGGACTTGTAAACTACGGCCATGTCGTACTCTTTGAGCCGTAAGCTCTATCGTGCCAAATGTCCAGTTGGGTCTTCCATGTTGGTCAACCAACAAAGAGAGTGGTGGTCGCTTACGACTTGGAAAGCGTCGTCGCTATGTCGCAGCTAGACGCAGCTATGCTCGCGGCAATATTGATGGTGTTCATTCGAGTGCTCTATGACCCATATTTCACGTACCAGCGAAGCATAGCGGCTGCTACACATTTGTTTTGGAGGTGCTTGTGCAACACATGTGTGTGAGAAAGCCAGTGAGAGCAGATGATCAGCACGACGTGCGTCACAGCCTTGTGTAGCCAAATGAGCAAGCTACACTGTTACGTCGCCACCCGATTCGGCACCCAGAAACCGAAAACTGTCGACATAGAAAAGGCGTTATTAATTTATTTGGCGAGAATAAATTAGTCTTGGTTGCTCGTCTCAAGCTTTCTGGACATATAAGAAATGTCTGCAGAAACGAACACGCAAGCCATAAAAATGGTGGCACTACTCCTTGAAGTTAGCAGCGAGGAGGCGTTTTAAAGGTCCACCCATCACAAAGCGCTCCGATATACTGATTCATCAGCTGCGGAACCATTATCAAAGTGAACAGCTTCGTAGGTTCACATGATGCCCTACGGACGTGCAGTGGGCCCTTCGCTCATTCCCAAAATTGGTTAATTATGGCTATAGTGAACTAGAAGGAACACCTATGCTTGCAGTAGGTACTCAATGATATTTTGAAATGGTCTATGTTACAATCACAGTCAATCGTTTCCTTACGGCACGGTTGGCATGCACCGTGAATCGAAGCAGGCTAGCACTAGGTTCAGAAGGTGATGCGCATCATTGCCGATTGCGCCATCGCGATCTGCTCTTGAAGGCGAAGCATCAATGTTTCTTTATGTTTTTTTTACATGCCATTGGTACCTGGCTTGTGTTTATAGCCAGTGATTCTGCGAGAACTATCGCCTAGAGCAGTTGTGCATGCCTGGAAGCCGTTGTGGGCACACACATGTTGAAGAATTATTGACAGCATTCATTAGCCTTCACAAAGATCTTTACAATATATAATACGGCTTAGTAAAAATAAAATAATCATTTGAATCCAACTTTGCAAAGAAGGAGACGAAATAAAATGATGTATCGTTAACGACTTAGCAGATGGGGAAAAAAGTCACAACTTTGCCGCAAAGACGAAGCAATGAACGCGATAGCAACAAATTGGAAGGCCACGCGCAGAATTGCCAGCAGATCGAAACGTGCCCCACGTTTTTCCCGCACAAATGACGCATGAAACGTATTCTCAGGTACAGATGAACGCGAATAAGGGACTCAGAAGTTACTTCACTCTGTTTGAAAAGCGCGCTTTTTTTCGCAAACGGTGCAACGATTGCAGTGATACTTGTGCGCCCTGTAAATGAAACAGAATCGTAGCTGAATGCCAGCTAAAGATCTTTACCACCGTGAGATAAGGGTGCGCGAGTGAGCGTCGACCGCCTGCTTTTCGTGGGGCAAAGTGCACGTGGGAGATGGAAGCGGGCGCCGCCGCGTCGTGACGATGTTGCTACGCGCGCTCATTGCGCCATCTTGCTGGTAATGCTGAAAGCACAATAGTTCTTCCCTCCCGAGATGCCTGTCATCAGCGGTAAGTGGTATATATAAATAGCTTGCCATTTGAACGTTGGAGGACGTGCTCCTCGATGGCTCAGTGGTTAACGCCTTGCACGCACGATTCAGAGGCCCCAAGTTGGATTCCGCGCGCCGGAGTCCTTTTCTGGATTTTTTTTTCTTACTTGCATTTTCATATGTACAGATACATATACGGTGAGTGACGGTGACGCCCACACCGACGCCGGCGGTAAAATCCAGCCGATAGTGTCCATATAATTGCTATCGCAATAATATGTAAAAGTGTGCTTCGAAATATATTTCACGATCTGTAACTCCTGTAGCTGTGTCTATTGGTCTAGTCTTGTTTCTGTACGTAATATACAAATTATCAAAATGTGACAAGTCTCCACCACACCAAAAAATTAATTATTGGCCTTTGACATGGGAAATATTAGATTGGCCACCAAGCAATCACATTATGCGCTCGCGGCGCTCCGTGCTTATGGTGGCGCCGTGCAAAGAACAACAGTTTCATCACACGTGTGCTATAATATGTATTCGCTACATTATGAAAAGCTTTTGAGCATGTACACAACAAGCAAGAATGTAGGATATGAAGACAAAAAAGCGCTTGTTTTACTACCTCATGCCTTTGTTTTCTGTGAGCGCGTTCTGAAGCTTGCCATAATGAATTCCAACCAACTCGATCAGTTTGTTCACTTCTGCATTTTAAATATATTCACTTTTCACGGTGTTAAGGAACTGCATATCCAACATTTAGTGAGCGACCGCTATGTACCGATCATGAAATGTGACGAATGAAAGTTCGAGGCATCAACGACTCTACAGCTTTCTCTACAGCTGCGGAACTGTTTGCGTAGGATGAAAATTTAGTTATTTCATGAAAGATTTTGCTTTCCACTGATTTATTGTGGAGCGCGGTGCATTGCACTTAGCGCACGACGCAGCGTTGTTCCAACTTTGCAGTCCAGCTGGTCGTTATATAAAACATTGCCCAGGTATTGGTTAAA